TAGAGGAAGAGTGATTCTGATAATTCTTATAGCCTTGACATTGCTTAAAAGCTTGTATTTTTCATCTTAAGGAATATTTATAACATAAACAAGAAGAGTGTTGTATTCATATTGAATCTTAATGATCCTCCTTGTAGTAGTATGAGAGAACGTCTGTTGGGTCATAGATTCCCATATTAAAGTTTCATGATATTCAAGACCAAGCATATAGTCTTCGAAGTGTAGCGCCCATATTTTGTAATCTTGTGGAAAACATAATTGGGATTCTGGTAGTAGATCCGATGCTGCTAGACAGATTTAAGGACAGAGTATGAGGATCTTCTAGTTACATGATGTCAATTCACAAAACCTATTTAGAATAAGATGTGTAAAACAATAATCGAGTCTAGGGCAAGATAAGGAACCAGATCTAACGTCTAGAATCGATGAAAACCTTGAAGACGGCAACAACATATCCACCAAAAATAGAAAACCCTAATAACACTCAACAGAAGAATTGTGTATGAGTTACACAACCTCCTGCTCTGATACCAATTAATGAATCAATAAATAATAGATCGATGGAGTCACTAACAGTAAAGTGAATCAAATAAGAAGAATAATGATCGAAGTTGTGTTGAACAATAGATTCAATAATAGATCGACAGATTCAATAACAGCAAAGTGAATCAAATAGTTCAACAAGAACTATTGTGTAACGACAATGTAGGGAATCACAAAAACAATTAACTCTAAAACAATACATGCATGCAATATTTATAGCCTAACCCTAGCAGCATAAATACGGATGGACAGGTCCAATCCGTTTAATAAAGGCTAAATACATACATAGTAAATTTGACAAATCACATTACATAACCCAACAATAAAATAATATTTCTTAAGGTATAAATATGATATAATAATTAAAAGAAAAAGAATTAATCTAAGAAAGAAGAAATTAAATAAATAATTAATTAAAAAATTAATAATAATAAAATAATATTTATTAATATATAAATATAATATATTAAAAATAATATTTTTTAATATATAATAATCCAATAAAAAAGAAATTAAAAAAGAATTAATTAAATGAATTAATGTACAATAATTCAATAAAATGAAAAAGAAAAATTGTAGAAATGGTCATTGTAGTTTGGTAAAAAGATAAAACTACAAAAATAGTCCCTACGGGTAAATCCATAATTTTCAAAAACTTAACAGTCAAGCTGTTAAACTTAACTATGTATGGAGCAAAACCACAACAAAACCACCAAACAGGGATATTTTTCTTAATAAAGTTTCTTTGGACCCTACCCAAAGAAATTGACAAACCACATGGATTTTGGGACTTTAGTCCAAAATATTTTAGAGTTGCACAATTGGTCCAAAAGATTTTATTTATTGTGATGTTGGTCCAATATGTTTTAAACTTTTTAGGCAGGATGCGAATCCCACCTTTTCCACCCTCAAGCAAAAAGGTTGTCTACTGAGCATTCTTCATGTCAGCGATAGCTAGCGATAGGGTCCTTAACCCCAAATAACATAGGAGCCCCATAAACCTTGAACTTCTAAAATGAAGGAGTTCGAGCTCTAATCTAACCTGCAACAATCTCGGCTATTAAAGTCCTGAGCCTTTTATCCATCAACTCTAAAATCCCCTCCTTGATGATACCAAATAGGACAAGGGTATCATCTAAAATACCACGAGTAACCTCAGCCAATATGAACTTGTGCATCCTCTCATCAATTGGTTCAACACCTGACCAAAGCCTGAACCAGAACCCGAACCTTAACCCCTCAAGTAATCATCACCATCCTCAAACTTGAAATATAACATATTAACAATCAGTTATGACTCTAGGGAAAAGTCCCAACAAAAAGGCCTCCTTAAAGTTGTCAAGTCTGCTCTTGTCTAAGGTAGATGTCCTATGCTTTCAATAGTATAGGCTTAATACTACCTTCCACACCTACATGTATCTTCCTCAAGGTAAGGGAAGGGTGGATTATTTTATTTTAAAGAAAATAGTTAAACTAATTAAAAGAAATAGAAAATGAAAATGAAAATACAAAGGGCAAATTCATTATTTTTAAAGAGTTCAAAAAATTCGGACTAAAGTCATAACAAATGAAAGCTTTTGGACCAGTGATATAACTCCAAAACGTTTTCGACCAAACTCACAAGTTTTAATAAACCATAAGGACAAAATTTATAATTTGTTCTTTTTAGTTAATTAGTTTTACATGTAGGATAAAATTACAATATAAAGCTTTTTTTTTTAATTTTATTAATTGAAAATTGTCTTGGAAGATTTTACTAAAAAAAAATATTTTATCGAGGGAAAATCTACATTTCGTAAGTGAACCACTAATTCTTTTTCTTCTTATGAACATGATTTCACATATATTGTGTTAATTTCATGGATACGAAGTCACAAGTTTTCAACCAAAGTCACAAGTTTTAACAAACCATAAGGACACAATGTATAATTTTTTTCTTTTTAGTTATTTAGTTTTACATGTAGGATAAAATTACAATATAAAGTTTTTTTTTATTTCATTAATTGAAAATTGTCTTGGAAGATTTTACTACAAAATATTATTTTATCGAGGAAAAATCTACATTTCGTAAGTGAACTACTAATTCTTTTCTTCTTATGAAAAACCTCGCTTGGTGATTTCATATATGTTGCGTTAATTTCACGGATACGAAATTGGTGGCTAGTTTAATCTAACACTGCAATATCTATATTAAGAGTATTAATAGTATCTAAATGTTATAATCTTATGATTAGGAGGATAAGTGAAAAAAATTAGAATATATTTAACATTATAATACTTATCATTTTATTCATTAATTAGCACAAATATCAATATAAAAAGAGATGATTAAAATAAAGAATTAGTAATATTCACGTATTATAATCTTATAGGATTAGAAGTATAAGTAAGAAGATATATAACTTATCTACATGTGTTGCATGTGTTGTACTGGTTCCGTACAATTACTATGCTACCGATGACATTTTAGATATTAAATATTAGTTGTGAGATTCTTATATTATACGAATCAGATAAAACAAAAAAATAAATAAATAGAAAGGTTTAAACAAAAATTTATTTAAATTTAAAATATAAAATTTGAATTTAAAAGGAAACATATTAAATACTATATGAATTGTAATATTGTAATTTATTGGTTATTTTCAATTAACACAATTATTAATTAATATGTAAATATGATGTGTTAATTAAGAAAGATAAAAAAAACAAGAAAACAATAAATAAATAAAAAAAAAACATTTATACAAATATACCATAAAATAACAAGTATCAAAAATCATAATAGATTGATATGTGCCATAAAAAAGCTTGATTTATTAAGAACGATATACTTATGAATATTAAATTCTTTGATATTAATTCGTTTTTTAGTTTCTTTGGCAAATAGTTATTGCAGGTTTTAAACACTAATAAATAACTTTAGACGTCTATCTTTACGTAAATTGGTTGAAGTGATAAAAATCAACTATGCGGCATCTGATAATTAAATCACTACGTCCAACTTTAGAACTTCGAAGTTTTCAGAAGACTTCCTTTGTTCCGGGGCATTAGTTCCAGGAGTGCTTAATCAAACGCTAATGATGGTATCCTTTTTTTTGTGGTCGTTGTTAAATTTGTTAAGGTACGGCGATTTGGCTTTATTTCCTCTGAATGTGATATAAATTTGCTTAAGTACTGCAACTACCTATTTTTTTTCTTTAGTAGTAGGCTAGTACTATAGTTTTGTTGGCCTTCAAGCAGCAGTGATGTTAGGTTTTCTTATATCTGATTAAAACTCATTTTTATAGAAGGGACATTAAAGAAAGACTAAATTACATAAATGGTCCAGGAATTTTGGTCCAACTTATATTTTCATTGTATATTTAGTTCGGTGGTTTGATTTTCTAACATGTTTGGTCCATGCCTCATGGAATCCAATGGTTGCTGTATTATATATTTGTAAATGACCATCTCACTTTCTTTTTCTTTTAATATCTTTATTTATTTATTAATTAATTAATTAATTAATTTATTTATTTATTTATTTATTTATTTATTCATTTATTTATTATTATTATTATTATTATTATTATTATTATTAAAAATAAAACCAAAAACAAAATCAAATTAAAAAAAGGTCATAATCTAATATAAAACAAAACCTAATCTCATTTATGTGCTTGCCTTTTTCGTTTTGTCTCATTGCCACTCATGCACCTAAACCAATGGTTTGATTTTCAAGTTTGGTCCATGACTCATGGAATCCAATGGTTGCAATATTAAACATTTGTAAACGGCAAGTTCACATTCTTTTGTATTTCCTTTTAATATCTTTATTTATTTATTATAGTATTCACTAAAAATAAAACAATTAAAAATGTCATAATCTAAAATAAAACAAAATCGAATGTCATTTATCTACTTGTCTCATCGCCACTCATGCACCTAAACTATATATCTAGGGGTTTAACCTTTTATTCACCTACCTGTTAGTTTTGAAAGGTTCTAAAGCTAAGGGGAGTGGTCCCACTCCGCTTAGCCTAATTGCACATGTTTTCATCTACAGCCATAACTTTTGATTATTTTCAAGTTAAATGATTGTTAGTGAAGCATTAACTGTTATGATGGTTTTGGGTGTATAAGAAAGCATCAAATCAGTCAGGGAAGCATGGAATTGGGTCTGCAACACTTTGAATCGTGTGTCCTATGATTGATTTTTGAAGGAACACTTGTGATTTCAATACAAATTAAATCTATAACACTTAGAATCGTGCGACCATGGACCAATTTTTAAAAGGAATGTGAAGGGACATATGATTGAAGAGATGATGTGTGGTTACCGGTTGGTTTTGGGTATGCCCACGAGCATGATGAAGCACATGTATGTTGTCCTTTTCCTTTACTTCAGAGTGTGTTCTTCTATTTCTCATCAAATTTAATGTGATACATTCCATGGGTTTCAATTTCTTCCATGTATGCAATTCTATTTAGAAGAAATCAATAATCTCAAACAGTCGTTATCGGTGCTGGTAGCTGGAGAAAGGAAGTGGATGACGGAAGTGGGAGGTGAAAAGTTGGGGGATGAGAAAGGAAAAAGGTTAGGGTGGAGTAGGTTTCTAAGTAATAATACCACGTAACAAAACTATTGAAATTGCATTCCTTAGACCATTCAGTGAGGGATTTGAACCATGGCTGCCATATCTCTCTTCCATTGTTTAAAAAATCCTCCTTTACTTTGATATTATCAAAATCAAGAAGCATTTTGAGACCCCTAAATATCTTAACGAACGATTCGCTTCTCTTATTATCCAGGGAGTGCCTTAGCATACATGGTGTGAGGAGGCTTTCAGCATCATAGAAAAAACATGGGGTATAGTGGGTATTCTAGATGAATGTAACACCGACTCTCCAAATTTGGCCTTCGGGAGGTTCGGAATTCTCACAAACCACTTTGGTATCATCAGCTCATCAATAACAATCTCAGTGGATGAAATGCCATATCAGATCAATATCATGGAAGATATTTTTGAATCCCTTAATCTTAGTTCGGTTCTTACATCCAATGATTTCTATCAAAGGATGTTGTGGTGGAAAGAAGATAGCATTGGGGAAAACGAAAGCCTAAATAGTGAAGTTCCTATTCAGTTAGAAGAGGAAAATCTTTCACCAGAATCATCTCCGATGAAGGCTCACTAGTCTCCTCTCCAGGATGAGGTATGGGAAGAGACATACGGTCGAATTTTGGGCTCAAAAGCCGAGGGATCCGCCCCCTCTCCCAAATTTAGGGAAACTCGAAGAGGATCTGTATCGCCACAACTGACGTATTTATGCCATGGTTTGTGTGGAAGTCTTACCCTTTTAGGTCGCAGTAGTAAGAGGGCCCATTCTCCTCCTGTGCTTAAGTCTCCTCAGCCGAATGTTTCATTGGACCTAAATAAAGCACCGGCCACCCAAATTCATCTGAGCAGCCCAATGGGAATAATGAAATACCCTCCCTGCAGTTACAAAGTTCACGAAGTTCTCCCTCTCACACAACGAAATTATCTCCCTCCTCTACCCCCATAGGCATCTCCCAAATACCGCTGGTATCTTAAACTTCGACTCCCTGAGGTTTGCAGCAAGCTTTATTGCGTACACAACCTGTAGAGTCAAATGCCACCTCCGCAGGAAGTTGCCAAAACAATAGTGGAAGGAGAATCAGTTGGATTCCAAGTTGGAAATCAATCTGACCAATTAAAAAAGATGATTAAAATTTGTGGTGTGAACATTGTTGATCAATGAATATCTTCTCCAACAATATCATAGGAATAGGGTGTGAAGTTAAAAGCGGTTGGCTCAGAGAATCACGTATTCAAAATCAATCTTTCTTTGTTGGACTGCAGGAGACTAAATCCATGGAGGTAAAAGGAAATTTCGATAGAAAAATCTGGGAAGCACCAAATTTCCAATGTGAGGTCATTGATCCTATAGGGCTTTCTGGCGGAATTGCCTCCTTATGGGACCCCTCCTTATTCAATGCCACTGAATCTATAAAGGGTGATGGTTTTCTTGCTATCAGGGGTATATGGCTTAGACTTAGAAGAAGATGTTGCTTTGTCAATGTCTATGCTCCTCAAGAACCAACAGAAAAAAGGTCTCTGTGGAATAACCAGTCCGCCATGATAAACTAAGATGGTGAATCTTATTGGTTCGTCTTCGGAGACATCAACGGTCCGCTCACCTGAAGAGAGACTTGGCTCTGTGTTCTGCCATAACAGCGCGTACCACTTCAACAATTTCATTCACTCTATTTGACTTCTGGAAATTAAAATGGACGGTAGAGGATTTACTTACATAAGTAAAGTTGGAGATAAACACAGTAAACTGGACAGATTCCTTGTCTCTCCAAATGTTGTCGGGTCATGGCCAAACATAAGTGTTACTGCCTTGCCAAGAGTGCATTTTGATCACTGTGCGATACTCCTATCCTCCAATCAGTTTGACTTCAGTCCATCTCCATCGCGGTTCTTTAATTCTTGGCTGAAAGACCCAAGTTTTGATGTGGTGCTAAGTAATGGTTGGTCAACTAGCAAGTTGCCCTGTTCTCGCCTGCATATATCCCCCTTTCCCTTGTTGCAGGTAAGCTAAGAAACCTAAAGGAACATATTAAATCATGGAGGAAAGAAATTATAGAAAAATCTAGAAAATAATTGGTTGGGCTTACAAATAAGATTAATGACATTGATCTCTTGGTTGAGACGGGCCAAATTAGCGAAGAACTTCTCAGAGGTCGCCAAAATGCTTACCAAAAAATCATGGAAACTGAAGCCAGGCACATTGAAGACTTACAAAAAAATACCGATCCAAATGGGCTCTAGTCGGGGATGAAAACAATGCTCTCTTTCATGGTCTGATAAATAAGCACCAAAGAACACAGAGGATTAATGGAATTAAGGAAAATGGATTCTGGATAAGTAACCCTGCCGTAATCAAAGAGGTGGTTGTAAAACATTTTTCTGGGAGATTTGCTGAGCCGATTAAACCACAACCTAAATTCTCCCGTCCAAAATTCAAGAAGCTCCCGCCCCATGCGGCTAAGTATTTAGAGGAACCTTTCTCACTTGATGAAATTAAAGCAGCCATATGGGCCTGTGGCTCGGATAGGGCACCAGGGCCTGATGGAATTTCTTTTGCCCCTACTAAAACAACATTGGGAAGTGATTGGTGGAGATTTCTACTTCGCAGTCAAACATTTTGAAGCTATAGGGCATATTGACAGAGGCTCTAATTCATCATTTATCACCCTCATCCCAAAAGTTCAAGATCCAATAACCATCAATGACTACCGCCCCATAAGCCTAATCGGATGCTTATACAAAACAATATCAAAGGTCCTAACTGAGTGGTTAAAAAGGTGGTACATCTGGTGGTTAGCAATACCCAGACAACTTTTGTTAAGAATAGACACATTATGGATGAGCCCTTCATCCTAAATGAGGCAATTAGCTGGATAAAGAAGAATAAAAAGAAAGCATTCACTTTTAAAGTGGATTTTTAAAAGGCTTTCGATAGTCTGAGTTGGGAGTATCTAGATTCAAACTTGCAGCAAATGAACTTTGGTTCTAAATGGAAGGCATGGATCCAAGGTTGTTTATCACCAGCTAGGGTCTCGGTACTCATCAATGGTTCAGCAACTGCAGAATTTTGCATGGAGCGTGGGTTAAGGCAGGGGGACCCTCTATCCCCATTTCTATTTATCATAGCATATGAAGGTCTTCATATTACATTGGAATCGGCAAAAGAGAAGGGCGTCTTTGAAGGAATCCAACTACATCGGTGGGTCCAAACATTTCCCATTTGCAATACGTTGATGATGCAATATTCATGGGCATGTGGTCTCCAGAAAATATAAAGAATATAATCAGAATTTTAAGATTCTTCGAGCTGGCTTCAGGTCTCAAGATAAATCTAGCCAAATGTAAATTGTATGGTTTTGGTATTTAGAGCTATGAGCTGGAGACGGTGGCCCGTAGTTGCAGCTGCCCAATTGGTTCTCTACCCATCTCGTATTTAGGACTCCTTGTAGGAGTCTCTATGGCAAGAACGACACATTGGAGGAAAATCATTGAAAGATTTCAGGCAAGGCTATCACGATGGAAAGCAGCCACTGTGTCGTTCGATGGGAGATTGACCTTATGTAAAGCAATTTTGAGCAGTCTTGGCTCTTTTTATTTTTCAATTTACAAGGCGCCGGAACACGTGATAAAAACTCTTGAGCAGATCCGTATGAGGTTTTTCTGCGGTGTCTCTATGGAATCAAGGAAAATAGCCTGGGTCGCTTGGGATAAAATTCTTGCAGCAAAAGATAGAGTAGGGCTTGGAATTGGTAGTTTAAAGGCGCAAAACATAGCTTTGTTGGGGAAATGGTGGTCGAGATTGAAAATTTTCCCTGATAGCATTTTGGTGGAGGTGATAAAATCAATTCATGGTCCCGATGGTGGATTATCTAGGCCATCGGCTGCAAGAAGGCGAAGTGGATGTTGGGGTACAATTGTAAATCTCCCCAACTCACTTGGTAAAAATCAGGTGTCCTTTTCGAACCACTTCCAGCTTGTGACAAACGTAGCCGACTCATCTAAATGGGCATGGTCTCTCAATCCTTCCGGGGTGTACACTTTCTGATCGATGAGATATCATATTGATAATCTGGTTCTCCCTCACAGTGACGAAAGGTGGACCCAGAATCCACTGGTTCCAGGGAAGGTAAATATTCTAGCATGGAGAATCTCCACAAATTTGGAATCAGCTCTATGAACCTGTGTAAGATGTGTAAGAATGCCCCAGAATCAGTGGATCACATCTTTGTGGGATGCTTGGTCACAAGAGAAGTTTGGTTTCAAGTGTGCAATTGGTGACGATTATTGGATTCCCCCCAGAGCTCCTGTCGAGTCCTGCTATATTGTAAATCAAGGATCGGTGGACATCAAAGGCTGCTTGTGTTTCACGAATCTATAATGTTAGTATTCTTATGGGTAATCTGGAGATATAGAAATGCATTGGCTCACAGACCAAGCACAAAGTCACATACGGTGTTGGCATCTGAGGTACAACTTATGTCTCATCTATGGATCAATGCTAGGAAGAGGAGAGGTCAAAATCTAAGTTTCTTTGATTGGGTTTTTGATCCAGTTCTAGAATGATATCGCAAGCTGTAGTTTCCAAATGTTTCTTGTTTTCATGTCTGTTATTGGTTTTGTTTTCTTATTGTATCTCTAAACTTTTGTACCTCCTAGCCCCTGGCTAGCTTCTGTTGTTTTAATTTTAATTTTATGCATGTCGTTCAAAAAAAAAACAAAACTATTAAAATAGAAATTTTCAAAATTATAAAAATAAGGATAAAATGATTTTTATAGGTAGTTAACGACCAACATTACAATAAATGTAAACCATAGGGACTGAAGTTGAAATGAATAAAAGTTGGACCAAAGTTGCATATTTCCGTATAACCCATGGATTATTTATGTAGTTTTGTTTTCCAGAGTGGTCAAATTATTTTGTTACATATAACGAGCATTTTTGTAATCTTTACTTAGAGGACCATTCAGTAATTTTATCTTACATATAAACTATTTTTATAACTTTCTTCTATATAGGACCATTTCTGTAATTTCATCTATTTTTTTGAAGGACCATTTTCATAGTTTTATCTTAGACAGGATCATGAATGTAATTTTGCCACAATTTCATTAACTTTTTTTCTATAGGAACCATTTCTATCATTTTTTTTTTTATTTGAAACACAAAGACCATTTGTATACATTTGGTCACTGATTTTTTTTCATTCACATTTTCTCATTAACTTGTTTAACTATACACATTCAGTCCTCATGACTGGCTACTCTAGGTAAACTAGAAAAAATGACTTAATAAGGTAATATATTTTTATCTTTGTATATATTCAGTTCTTAATATTTTTTGTACATTTAGTCCTTATAATTTTTTTTCTTGCAAAATAACTCATTATTGTTTTTTCATGGTATCCTACGTGGGATAATCCTTAATGATATGTTTGGGACTGTTGATGCTTATGGACACCTCGACCTCATGTGTATGGTTGCTTATGACTTATGTCTTGTGCTTCGCTTAGTTCTTGTGTTCTGAACATCGAAGTTTTCCATACGATCTCAATTTTTAACGATCTTTATATACACGCGTTC